TTTGGGGTAGGTATTCAAAGCAGGGCTCACCCACATTTCTGTGGGGGAAGATTTAAAACATATTCCTGTTCATAAATACCATTTTATTCAGTGAGTCAAATGAAGTCAATATCCGATAAATTTCCAGGGATTTTGTTCAGGAATTCTAACACCCCCGCCCATTTTTATGGTACATGTATATTCCTTGTGCACCTAGTCCCAAAGAATCTCCTTGTATTGACTTTGCACGTGTGTGGCGCGCACATACTATTGACCAATAGGAATGGATTTAAACTGTCTCATTTCCAGATGCCAGCAGGCATCGTCAGATGCTAATACATGGTCACGTTGTGCCTTGTTGAATAGGGAAACTGTCTTAGGTGTTTATGAGTAAATAACAATAGTGGATATTTGTATATCTCACATTCTATCGATTCTGATGCTCACGGCACTGTTCATTAAAAACACAGATATTACAAGAGAAGCAATTATAATGGAAAATAAATGCACAAACCAAAGCAATACAGTATTCAGCATAAAGAAAGTTTGAACAGGCAATCGGGCTTTGAATGTGTCTTAGATTATCTAATGTAAAGATACACTGGTAGGTACACTACAATGTAGGTCATTCGAGAGTGTGGGGCTAATGTATGAAAATGCACAATCGCTACAGGACTGTTTGGTTTGGGGTATACATGTGTGGGAGGTCCACATATTAGAAGATTGGAGGCTTCTTGATGGTTTGTTCAGGTTATGCGCGTCAACGCTTGTGCGAGGCGTTGCGTATCTGACAAAATCATTCCTGGAGCGATTTTGATGGCCGAACGCAATGCACATGAAGGTCTCCATGTATCATCAAATATGGTCATAACTTTTTTTCCAATGGGCCAACTTGGCAAAGATTCCATGTAATTCTCACCCCTGGCATATACATGTACCACAAGCCTGTAGACTCCCATTGGCCAGACCCCAACCAGTGCAGAGTGAGGAGTCTTGAAAGATCAGTAACCCTAAGAGGCCCGTATGACTGGGAAATGACCCAGTAGTAAAAAAATCCACCTTGCGGTTCGGAGATATTATGGAGGCGTGGCTACAAATGTACTTTCACAGCAGCTTAATGAAATGTAGCTAGAAAGGGGACCTGACGGATGTATTGGTTACCATAAAACAGTTGTACGGGTTCAGGCATGACCAGGAACTCCGGGAACTGTGTGGTGATGATTTTCTCTGTGTGGAGAAAAGGTCCCCCTTATTTTGGGATTGCAGCTGGGAGAGTAAATTTATGGAGTTGATTTTTGTGTCTGAGAAAGTGAAACGCATGAACGCATTGTGTACGCAACGCACCCAAAAACCATATGTTTGGAAAGCTGCCTTAAGGGTGGTTTGGAGATACATGTGGGTAGCTGCAAGTGCATGCAATGAGCCATACACAGGAGAAGAATTTTGAATATTCATCAATTATTGACCAGGAGCCAGTGGAAAGAGTGAAAAGTATGGGTGAGATGTTGCTGGTTTTCTCTGGGCTTTGCTCTGCCCACATTAATGTGTAGATTTGCACCCGGATGGCATTCAGAACAGAACTAGTGCAATTAATGTCCATGTACTGTATATGTACATGTACCTGAACATCTACCCTCCATGTTAAACCAAGTATACGGTACTTGTCATCTGAGGAGCAAGTGCACGCTGCAGGTGATAAAAACATGCTGCAGGAATAAGACTCAATACAACATTCAGAAGTTGTGGGGAGGACATTCCAAAACACATCAGTAGAATCTTGGAGTGGCACTGGCACTGTGATAGGTTCTTGAGCTAATCAACATGGAGGATGGGGAAGGGTGATTTATTTGTTGTAATGTACACATGTAATCGGCTTCGTGAAAATGGGTAGCAAGTTGCCAGAGAATGAATAATCTTGCACTCTTGAACTCAGTAGGAACCGTCAACATTTTCCACCCATCTTTTCATTCATTTTTATCAGTATGCCAAGGTTAATGGCCTCTCACAGTTCAACATATGTTAGATTTCTTTTGGAAAATGCAAGATAAATCGAATGACTTTTCTAACTGCTGTTAGAGATACTGACTGTTTAAAGTCATTTGTACAATATTCGTGCGACGTGTCACACTGCAACTCGGTAAGCAACGTTCCGAGGTCCTGCCTCAGGGTAATAATGTTACCGTACAATGCATTCATATTAAACAGATGAAATGGGGGACTTGGCATGTATGCAGGCCCACCGAACGTCCAGGCATTTTGAATCGTCTGTGAAAATGCATCACAACATCTTGTTTACACAGCCTCTTGGGAGAATTGGTTAACCTGACTGCTAGCATACAGCAGTATTCCAAATATAAAGAGACTGTCTTTTGCATTCCCTATGTGACCAGATCCAGGGCATCGGACCTACCTTCAAGTTGACTGTCAATCTTCAGAATACATCAATCAATTGCCCATCCATGCAGCTGCTGATCACATTCCTGTATGACGAGAAACTGTATTCCCTGCAGAAGACCCTGATTGAGGTATGAATCCAGCTTTCCTTTAGTCAGAAATACATGGATGGAAGCTTAATTATAATTATGATGTCTGTACAGCCAGCATTCCAAATGTAGGCCGAGTCTGCTAGCTGCAAGTTTTTCAATGTGCAGTGTTTTGCCCGTTATTTCTGTATCCAGGAATCCTTAACTTAGATTTTTTTAAAGAAAGCTGGATTAGACCACCCACCCCCTGAATTTTTTTCCCTGGTATTTAGGGGGTAAAAAAACTGTGTAGGTTGGTAATACATTGTTTTTCTTTGGGCTAATTTTTGCCGGCAAAAAATTTGGTGGGATAATGGTTCACCATTTTTTCAACAAATGACTATCAAATTTCACACTGTACATGCTTATCAGCACTGCATTTACTGATTGAAAGTAGACGGTTGTGGATACCAACACACAAGAACCAACCACACTCATGAAGCCAACTCTCTTAAGAAGTAAACCCAAAATAAATGGAAAGAATGGTCTAAATGGAAAGCAGCTCATGCCTGTATACCCACACACGTAAATACTTATTGGTGTGCAGTTGCACAAATCTTGACTCAAAAGTAGCCACAGGATGTACAACCTCTGTGCCTAATTCATGTCCCTCAAAAGGCCCCACTCAGAGAGGCTGTCCCCAGTTTCGTGATTCCAGCCATGCACAGCTTACATCAGCACATGGGAAATCGTGGAACGCCTCCCCATGGAAACCCTGTGGACAGCAACAAAGGAGGGCTTGCCTAAGCCATGAAGAAGGAATACCCTGGAAACTGGCTGCAAATCATCTTTCATTCTTTATCAGTCCAGCACCCAAATTGTGATGCTTCCACCTGAGTAGCTGAGTTCACGGTTCAGAGATGTTCCTAAGCTTCCTAAGCCACTCCACTCTCTGGTCAGCAGGATATGGCACTTACATCTTCCCACAGCTGGTCACAGAGGATTTGAGCACCTCTTCCATTTCCATTGCTATCTGCAACAGCTCCCCATGTTCAGGCTTGGTCCTTCCCTGATGATAATACTGGCATAGGTTCTTTTGATTGGTCATCACTTGTCCGAGAGGGACCTGACACAGCCTCCGGTGTATCTTTCATGTGATTTAGGGTGGTCAGTACCCTCGTTATTGATTCACACCAAATCTTACACCGAAACTGGAAGCACAGCCACTCCACTTGGAGCACCCCTCCATGGATGTCACCAGACCCAGTGCTCAAGTGATGATTCTCTTTTTCTGCTTGACAAAGTAGTTCATTGCACCAAGTCTACATGTTGTTTGCCCTCAAGAGTCTCTACTCAATTCTGTGTCAGTCATTGACAAATGGAGGCCTCTCCTCACAGCAGGTAAACGGAGATCAGTGAAATGGACAAACAGCTTCAGAGCAGTCCTTTTGCTCATCCTGTGATAGGAATCCGTAGATGTCTATCCTTAAGGTAACATTTCTGGTGAATAACTTGTATTCATATATTATTGACAACACCATCAAACAGGTGCTGGAGAAACAGTCCCCCAGCCACTGGTTTAAGGCTTTCAAATGCTTTTTCTACAAAGAAAGTGACCATGGAAAATTCTGCATTCCCACCTTGTCTTCAGAGGTCAACCCTCATCTGCCTTGAGTTGGATACTGCTGAAGCCATTAACAAGAAACTCAACTCACTAGACCAACACCTTTGCTTTGGGGCTACATGTAAACATTATGTCCCTATGCTACCCACGCCTGATATCCATGCTTGTTGTCGAGAAAGCTCTGCAGTTTATTAAAGCATCCTGGCTGAGATGATAAATTTGTTTGATGACTTCCTCAGCATGTGTTCCCACCATTTCTCACCAGGATTTGCCACCATATTGCTTTACTTCAGCATTGCCCGTTTCTTGTGCATGCTTATAATGGCATGTTGAACCTTCCTCTGGAGAAAGAAAATTCAATAAATCCGTGATCAGTGAAGTTTGTTCCTCAGAACAGTTGCAAAATGTGACCTTATGGTGGCCTTCAACCAAGCATATCAACTTCTCCCCAAGGTGAGTGTAAACTGGTGCTGGAGCCGAACCGTCGAACCGAACCAAAAATCATCGAACATGGCACTCTCGAACTGAACCGAACCGAATCAAACTGGTCTGTTCGGATGTTCGGCTTTTATGTCATGACATTGATAGAACACGGAATGCACACAAGAAAAGTTGATAAAAAAAGCAAACACAACAAAAATGGATGAGTTATGCTGCACCAAAGCCTGGCACATGTACGTGTAAGCTTTATACGATGGCCTACATCATGGGATGGTTGTCAAAAGCAAATGGTGAGAATTAACATAATCAACCGAGAACATGTACGGCATTTCCACTGCACAACAATTCTAAATTCTTACTACAGCCAATGGTGCTGATGTATATTTTTGATTTAGGATTATGTTTGTCAATCTCCGATAGCCACGCCCTTCATTCCATATTAGGCCAATGGTGTCATAAATGGCCTTGATGGATGCTGATATTCACGATATTGAAAGCAACTCCGGAGGGGAAGCTGATTTTGCCAGTCGGGTTGGTGCAGCACTCCGGCATTTAACAAGAACTGGTTCTCACAATGGCCTAACTTGCCTTTCCTTTGATCGTGTTTGATTGAAGTCGTAGCTTGAATATGTTGTAGTGGAATTTTGCCAGATCTCTAAGTTGTTTGCAAATCTCAAATAATTAAAAAGACTGAAGGGAAATCCCCCCTTTGGCAACATGGACCCCGTCCTAAGGAAGAATGCTGACTTGATACCAAGGTTCTTCTTCGAATTCATTGAAAGCCATAGTTTGGTAGTTGAATCTGCTTCGTGAAAAAAATAACCAAAACACAATTCGCTCGAAGTCTAATTTGATCTAGCATCCTGTAAAGGAGGAAACTCCCATTTGAGCATGCTGTTCTTTCTGTTTTCACATACCCTCAAGTGTGGTCCAAACACAACCGCTTTTGGTTGGCAAAACACGATCGGAAACTGTCACACCTCCGATGGTAACTTTCTATGGAATTTTAACTGTTCAAATTGAAGTTTCTCGTCGATCGCAATGGGAGAGGAGATTAATTGCTTGTATTAATGTATTTTATACACAGAAGTACTAGGATACAAGTCATGGTGGGCCCAGACAAATGGTTCATTTCAATTTCATCAGGTTACAGGTTACCAACAGCCCTTGGAGTCATGGATGTAATCCCTTTGCATCAGGCTTCTAAACAGTCTGTGATATACATGAGCATACAAATTTTATACCATCACACTGGCCATGCAATTGAGTAGGCTGACAAAGACCTATTGGTATAATGCATGGCTGCTGATTGGTCAGTATCCTGGAACTGAAGAGGAGGTCCGCTTTTGCTGTTCACCACAAAATATGCTCACACATTATGTGTGCTTATACAATTCAAACATCTACTCTGTACACTACATGTAATAAAGTCCATCCCTGATGACCAAGTAGTGGTTCCTTGGTCTTCCTAGGTCGGGCAACCTTTGAAGGCATACCCCTGTCTTTTATACAGAATGCTATCAAAATGCTGGGGGCTGCTCAGGATTTGGCACACTTGCAGTTAACTCCGACAAAGTCCAGATGACGGCATCTTGTAATCAACGAATCATAGTCTATTTCATTGATTAAACATGAGCAAGTGGAAGTTCCTGTGACATGCAAACCCCTTTGGGAATATTGAAGGCCGTTTTTAATCACGGCTGCTTTTCCTCATTAGGCCTCTGTGACTTTGATCACTTTGTGGTCGTTGCTGGTGATCCATTACCCAAGGAATGTAGTCTCAAGTCCATGAAAGAGTGTATGGCAGTTACTTGTTTAGTGCACTTCCTTGCAGTCACACTTGAAGAAAGGGAACCACTTGAATAGCCCATCTACATTCACTTCTTGCTACCTGAAGGATATAGGTAGATGGTCAGAGTAGGCCGACAGGTTGTTTGCGGGTTCACCATGTGGAATCTATCTCTTCAATAAGAGTGGTGATTCTAAAAAGAACTGGTGAGTTTTGACCAAGATGCATGCTCTTGGTTGTCCTCAGTAGAGATGCTGGACTGGAGTGGAGAGCTGCTTCAACTCGGAAGGTGCATGTACCCCCTGAGTAGAGGGTACTATCTGTGATTGCCTATGAGGTGTGTCCAGCCTTTCCTGTGCTGCTTGTTTTGCTCCCTCTCCATCTGAGTCCCAACTACCCCTACTTGAGTAGTTTGGTGCTACTCTGGATATGTAGACAGAGATGAGCTGTTTCTCCAGCTCCAAAGGAGGGATTTCTCCATTCCAAAAACCTAACCTAACGTCCTGCTTTGGGAACCTAAAAAAATAAAACGTGGTGGAAACTTCTCTAATGCTGCCTTTGAGTTGTGTTTTGAGTGCAGAGGGTGTGGCTTAAAGGGGTTACCTCTCTGTGGGTTTATGTGTGCTCATGTCCAGGTACACAAATGTAGGTATTTATCTTTCTGATTAGAATTGAAAATCCTCATGGATTCAGAGTTGGACCTGTGGATTTTTGTTATTCATGTTTGAGTAAAGAGATATTGGTTTGTGCTCTTACCTGTTTATTTCTGATTTACAGGTTCCAATGCTGGTCCCAGGACTTAACTACTCATTTGAGACACTGGTTGAGTGTCTGAGCGACAAAGGCATCTCGGACGTCATCAAGGTGTTTGTCTTACGAGAGGGGCAGAGTGTTCCTATCATTACAGCTGTCATTAGCATGCCGGTCAGCGAAACAATGGTAGTGGTCTGAACTGTCCCACCTTACATCCCACCCTTCCTTGACCTCAAAGGGGACAGAATTGTGCCAGAACAGATCTGATATCGGGACCTCATTATGCTCCGTTCCCGAACCTCGACGAGCTTCTTGGTTCCTGCTTCATTGGCAGTATACCATTGGCTGCGGTATGTTACTACGACAAACCACAGGGCATTTCAGGTATGCTACACAGGCCACACAGCACGAATCAGCAAGTTATAATGGTAACACAAGCCCTTTTAGGGATTTTTCATCTAGAATGGATCAACTGTAAGACAAGCTCAATGCTTTGATCAAGGCTCATTGGAAACGAGCTTAATTCTAGGAGTCACTACACAAGAATATTTAGTAAGGAAGCCAGTGTGGCATTTTGATGTCATTTTCAGTTGTTACTTAATTTTCAGAGGTGATGCGGGCAGGGAGGGTCATGCAGGTGAAAATGTATGTCTTCACCTGCCTGACATTTGAAATGCAATGCATTGTTTAGATCTCAAGACGACATGAACTTTAAGGTCCAAATTACTATGAAACAACATGTAGATCAGGCAGACTGTGAAGTTCAAGTACCGTTATGTCTACACCTGTTTTTTTGTCACTTTCATCATCCAATTAGTCCCAAGAATTGGCTGTGCTTTGAGTAGACCCAAAGGGTTTACAAGTTACGTACATAATTAACAGGCTTTAGAGTTCACCAACTGTTGGGCCCAAAAGACGTAAAAGCAGGAGGAATAAGCCTTTTGCAAGTTAAATTTTAATCAGATTTGGTACACTGAATTATCTGCTTGCTCATAAACATAACAATTTGAATTCCCCAGACTAAAGACACTGTTGCTATACATCATGAATAGGGGCAAGCTTTTGCATAGCGACCACCATCTGTTGAATGGACTGATTTCCTTTTTGCCCCTCTTTAAACACTGTATTGTGCAAGGAAATTCTTAAAATAAAATTAAACTAAATGAAAGCTTGCCCTGAATCACGAGGTATAGCAACAGTGTCTTTAGTATGGAGAATTCAAATTGCTATGTTCATGTTAAAGAACTCAGTGTAGCAGATTTTAGTCAAATTGAACTGGCAAAAGGCTTATTCACCCTCACTTAAAGAGCACCCTCAACGATGGTGAAAAAAATGTGGAATAGAGTTTCATATACTCACGTGGTATCTAAGCGATAAGTTATATATGTAAAGTGGCACTGTGATTAAATAAATTGTAATGATGTGATAAAAATATGGACCAATTCTGCAGGTTTTTCAAAACTGTCCACATTTGTACTGTTGGTGGCACCACTCAGAAATGCTTTTTTGATTACTTGCCACTGTGGAAACAAAAAAACATCATGACCCTGCAAGACCTGGTTTTGTGGATATGTTTTTGTACAAAGGCCTGCACGCATGAGCTGCAGGGCCTAGCCTGACACTTTTTGGAATAAAACAACAAGAAGCATTGAAAACATCTGTCCCTCACTCTGAACTTGGCTAGCCTTATTTATCAAACAATCTTAGTCTCCTTCACCGCCTCGTTCACCAGCTGTGGACCCATTGTCAGCTCGATAAGAATCCCGTCAGTGCTCCATTGGCTCAATGGGTTCAAAGCGGTAAGGCTCTGCACCTCGGACATGGGACAGTGTATAGCTGTAACTAATTATGTGCATTGACATGACTGCGCCGGCTCAGTGCATACATGCGCCAGCCGGAGAACCGTTTCCATTGGTGCTACGTTAACAATATCCTGGAAAAGCCGTTCATGAGATGTAAATGAAGCAATGATGCCATGCTCCTTTCACGAAAGCCAGCCATGGCACTCAGCAGAAACGGGTGTCAAAAGTGATTTTTTTTTACCACAAATATTGCTGAATCTGGGTTTATGTGGCATAGATGTCTATCATGGGATCCAAGTAAACATACTGTGGCCAGATTTCTCATTTTCTTCCACCGTTGGGTTTGCTTTTTAGGTTTATTTTTTGGTGATAAATGTATGGAATGGAGTTCACATTGTATGCTTGTGGTGTACATGTTTCTACCCATGGTGACAAGTAATGTCAATTAATTTTAGTCTTGCACTCCAGGCCCAGACATTTTAATATTGCTGTGGGTTTTTTTTGTTGTCTGCTAGTCTGGTTTTCACTCAGTTTGCCAAATCATCTGACTGTAAATAATTATGTGCACATGTATATAACCTGTTGTGAAATTAAAGGCGTCTTCACAGCAAGACTCTTCTCATTTAAAATTTCTTACCTTGTTCATACATAATACTCGTTTACAGCACCAGAGTGCAACATGGTAAACTGCTGGGGCAGATCAAGCATAAGCCGTGTCCAAAACGGGCTTCCAGAGCTACGGCTAGGTCAATTGTCTACGCGTCTCCACGCATTTCCAATGGAGCGAAGACCTAGACCTAGCTCTAGGCAAGAGATTCAGATGCAGCCTTAGTGTGTGCAAGGGGTAGTCATTTTTGTTCTTCAAATTTTCTAAAAGCCCTATTCACTGATGACATATGACAGTGTTTACAGCAGTGCATGGGGTTCATTTGCGCGATGTACACGGACTGGACTGTCGTGTGTGACACGGGGAGAGAAAATGACAGATGCATAAGTTATATTTGATCAGAAAGAGACATGGGAAACCCCACCATTTCCAGTTGTGGACAGTTGTCGGGAAGATTTCAAACAATAGCTACAAACAAGCCTGACTTTTGGGCACGGAAATAACCAACACATTTGAAGGATAGTAGTCTATGTGGGGTTCTGGAGGGAAATAACTTTGGACGGATGGGTTCTCACCTCTCATGGTTACCACCTAGAGTTCACGAGCCCCCTCTGTCCAGCATGACGTTCCAACCAATTCCGGTCCCACATGATCTAGTCAAACGACAGGCTTTGGAGTCAGAAATTCCAGATTTTCTTCAGAAGTGGGCTATCCTTCCGGTCCTACAACATCTCCTGCGTGAGCTTCGGACACGGTTTCCAGGTGGGTGGTTTCTGCCATTAACTGAGCTAATTCTGACTGGCCTACTAGCCCTGATGATCAGTGTTGATGCCCATGTTGATCTGTGCCCGTGATGTCTGGGCCTTTTCATCTTCCTGGGCTTATTTCAAGGGTGTTCCTATTATGGACATTTATAAGCTGCCTGTTGGAAATCCTCCTCAACACACCTCTTGTCCTCTCTGACATTTTGCAGGAGACCACTCTCATGGACTGGCTGTGCTCTGGACGGCATCGAGGTAACTCCACTGCCGGTCGTCCTCTACCCCTGCAGGAAGATACGCTCAAGCAAGCCGTGGGATGAGTCCGGGTTACACCCATCCTCTTATCTAGTGTTGTTATATTTATGCTTTATTACAACACCCCCAAGTGTGTCTTTATTTGTGGCCTACTCACTTTGATTCCTTCCTTATCTTGCTCCTGTTTGGGTGTTGGTAGTTCGTCTTTGCCTCCCTACCATCCTTAGGTGCAGCGCTACTCTGCATATGTATTGGTCATCTGCATAGGTTGCAGGCAGCAGACTCTCCCCCCACCAAGAGTGGGACGAGTCTACGACTGCAAACCTGCCAGGTTACCAACCTCCTTCTCTCCTCCCCACTCAGCCTCAGCCCACTGTGTGCTTTGAAAAAGAGGAAGATCATGGTGGCCACCTCCACGGGAGTCGAGCGAGTGAGGGCGCACTGCCGCATGATTGAGAATTTAGTGAATGGAGTAATGGACTTGGGAAATAATGCATATTGGTAATCTGGTAGGTATGCAGTAGTAGACTCATCCCACTCTAGGCAGGGGGAGATTTCAGACCAAACCTGTTGATATCATTGTAACATTAAAATTTACCATGATTTAGGAGATTTCAACAGGCAAAAAGGAAAATGAAGTGAAGATGAAAGGAAAACTAAGACACACTTTTTCATCAACTGGATTGAAATGACCTCACATCCTTGCGTTCATTCGTCACAAACCGTCCATACAGCACAGGGCGCTTGGAAGGGCTAATACAACATGTATTTTTTGCCGAGAGCTTATTGGATGGAGTTTATTGTAACATTTGAACACTGGTCGACACTTCTGGCCCAGTGCACTTGACACGAGTGAACTACCATCCTTAGGTGCAGGGCTACCATCTTTGGGTGTGGTGCTACCATCCTTAGGTGCGGTGCTACCATCCTTT